TGATACATTGCCCTATTCAAATACTTTTGTAAATATTTATTTTTCTCACTAATTTGTTATTATTGTATTAAATTAAATTTGGTATTGTATTTCCTTTTCCTTCGTAATTTATTTCCTAGTGTTTGTTTTTGACGTGACAATCAAGGTTAAAAAAAACCGCTAGGCGTCCTCTAGGCGCCTGGGAACCGCCTAGGGCGCCTAGAGCGATTAATCAGTGTCTGGCGCCGATTATTTTTGCAACACTGACAATATAACTTTTTATTATTATTAGTTATCAATTATCAATTTTTCATAAATAAAGAAACTTAATGGGGCCTAGTTCAATCACCAAAGGTGGATGGGGTCAATTGTTATACCACGGACATACCAATGCCTATCTTGCATTATGGATCATCGTTTAAAACGGCATTCAGATTATGTACTAGTTAATATATTATGTACATATTAAAATTAACAAATTATGTATATATGCATGTAGGTTTCCTTTTGGGTTTGGGAGTTTTGGGGCTAGGTGGGAAGATCAAGTATTTTTTGTGGGCTTCTTAGAAATAAGTTATTAGTGAAATGATAATTTATATTAGCAAAATTTTTAAAGACTAATTAAATTCATTAATTTACTATAAATTTAATGACTAAATTGATATCGCGAATAATTAAAAGACTAATATTATACTTACTAGAATAATAGCACTACAATTGAGGGAGTGTTGCTTTTTCTTTCCCTTTTTAAGTTAGGATTGCATTCTAATCCTTAATGGTTTCACTGCTCATACCGGAATATTGGATGGAGTTTCCTTTTTTAAGTTTTATATATAATATATGCAGTATTATGTAAGGAGTGAAGGAGCTATTTTAGTATCATTATATTTCTTGTGTATCCTTGTAATAGCCCTTTAATTATATAACTTTGACGTAATTATTCATCTTTTCTTTTATAGATCAGATTCATATATAAATAATATACCCGTCAAATATAATTGAGTTAATTCCATTTTTGTCTTAGATTTATAGGTGGTAATCTATTTTTAGTCATTTTTCATCAAAACATCCTCATTTAGTTATAGTATTATTGTGGCATGATCATTTTTGGTCATCCATCAATAAAATTGTATAAATTCCATAAAATACAAAAGGCATTTAGGTCTTCAATTATATTTAAAAAATAAATAAATAAATAAAAATATAGCAGGTCAACTCACATTGTATAAAAAATCGAAATGTCCTCGTATTTAACGATTTTGTTAACGAATGACCAAAAATGATCATGTCACAATAATATTATGACCAAAGATGATGTTTTGAAAAAGAATGACTAAAAGTTGATTGTGACCTATAAATCTAGGACCAAAAGTGAAATTAACTCTAATATAATTTCTAGTAATTTTTTTTTCAAGAAATAGTATTAGTTTTATCCAACAAATTTGTAATAATTAAACATGATTTTACTTGCCAATGACTTTGTGGTCTAGTAGCATGAAGTGACTCTTCCAATTAGGAGCTCATAGGTTTGAACATTAGTAAAAACGGTATGAACAGATACTACATTGTAACACAGTTAGTAATACTTTAAAAAAAAACATGATTTTACATGTTAAATCTAAACATAGAGTGAATTAATTTATAAATAGTAAATAGTTAATGTATATACATATAGTGATGACGTATGTTACTTATAAGATATATTGGGATTGGTTTGTGATCAATTCCCAATAAAATAAAACTTTTGTTTTAATGTATGTAATATATGATTTAGAAAAGAATGTTGAATAGACCATTGAGCTTATTAGATTTGTGAAATTAAGTCATTAAATTAAAAATATGTATGATTACAATATCAAATAAGCAAAAAAACAAAACAATTTACATCTTTTTTTAATATGTTAAGTTATAAGTTTTCAAGTAATTGATGAATTAGCATGTCACATAGGCATTTGATTACCTGGAAAGTTATAAAAAAAAATAGTAATTAATTAATTAAACAAAAATTTAAAACAAAAACAAAATTACTAGAGGTACTAGCCATGGCCTACTATACCTCCTTCGAATAAAAAGAGGGAGGCTTTTTCCTCATTGTTGGAAAATTAGTTAAAAATAAGGTTAAAGTGGTCATTTTAAGATAATATTTTGAATGATATCTATTTTTAATTTGTGTGTGGGTAAAAGTGTCTTCGGGTTCTCTTAAGTGGGATGTTTAATTTGATATATTATATAATCAAAATAGATAATGAATGAATGAGAACTTGAGTCTCAAAGTATACCCATTGAATTGAGAACAATGAAGTTTTTAAAAGCTTTTAAGTAATTTTTGCTCCACAATAAGAATGTATGTAGGTTTGCACTAGTATATATACAAGTCAACTTTTTAAGAAGTTTGAATTGTATAGTATAGAGCATCTCTCTCACGCCTAGGAGGTGCAAGTCAAAATCTCAAAATAATTAGTTTGTAAAGTTTGAATCTTTTATTTTATTTTTTGTAAACCAGTTTGGTTGGTCTGAGTGATTGTGCACTCTCATCCATTAAGAGAGGTCAAGAGTTCGAACCTCCTCTAGTATGGAAAAACCAATATGGCTAGCACTTTGCCCCTTAATTGGGTCGGTCGAGTGCGAACGGAGATTAATTTGAGTATGGTATGAGCAAATCTTTTTTGCACCAGATCCAAGCACGCTGCTGCATGTTTGTCTGAAAATAACCTCATCTAGTATATGTTTCTCAACCTGTTAAAACACAAAGAATCTAACACGTACCACCTCCACTGAGGCTCAATCTCATGACCTCCCATATGGGAGAGTCACTACATATCATCTGAGCACAAGGTGCTTGCCACTAACCTCATATGTTATTTCATATTACAATTGAGATTACATATCTGAATTTAAAATTCAAATTGAATGTCTTGATTGCTTACACCACTGAATTTTTTGAATGTCAAATTGAATGTCTTACACCGTTGAATTTTTTGAGTTTTTCATTCACACTACTCTCAACTTCTAAAATTTTTTATGTAACTTCTTTAAATTTGTGTATCTCTTTCGTTCTTATTCGCTAAATAAAAGCAGTATATTTGAGTGTTAGAATATACTATTGTAATAACTCATTATATCATGAAAATTGATGAATTTATACTCTTAAGAAAATTATGAGTGTTACACACCTTAAATTAATCATAATATTACCGAACTGTTTTGAGGAATTTTATTTTAGACTAGTAAAAAATTCCTACACCCCCTTTGTCACTATGTAATGAAGGAGAATATTGCCTCCCCTTCTTTTTCATCACTAGCGATGAAAGAGACAACATCTACTATCTTCTTTTTCATTCGCTGCCGTGACGAAGGAGGAACCATTTGTCACCCCCCCCCCCCCCCCCCCGCCCCGCCCCTTCCCTTCCCTTCCTTTTCATCCCACGGTGATAAAAGAAGTAGTAGTCATGGTCATCTCTAATTTCTTTTTAAGAGGATGCAATTATGATTACTCTCCTGAAAGATATGAATTCGAGTATTAAAAGATATGAATCTAATAAACATATTATGTTTATAGTTATACTCATATGTATAAATATACAATGACAAGTGACAATACATAAATTTAGTTAATATAATACGTGAATCGTGATTAGTATAATATATGAATCCAATCGACATATCATGCATAACATAACTTACCAAGTTATACACAAATGAAATGATGTTAATTTAAAATTAATTTGTATAGGATATATAAATTAATATAACATGCATAACATAACTTGTATTTAACCCAATTAAATCACATTGACGTTGATAGAATATGGGTGTTTGACAATTAGCTACTTGTTAGTAACTTATTGTGTTAGTGGATAACAAATAGTTACGTTGATTGATGATAAGGGGTTGTGTTAACTATTTTAATCAGCGAATAGTATTGACGATTTGTAGAAAAATGTTTGGTAAATTAATTGTTTACCGTCATCAAGTAACATGTAAAATGACTTTAAAGGATATACATTTATTATTTTATTATACTTAAATTACTTTTAGTTTTAGATATAAATTTTAAAATAAGTCTATTATTATTGTTGTTATGTATTATTTTAACAATTTTTTTGTTTGTAATAATAATAATAATAATAATAATAATAATAATAATAATAATAATAATAATCATCATCATAATAATGCAATATTAAAAATGTATTTTGAAAAAAAATGAATAAACGTAAGCATCACAATAACCAATCATTATTAATGGTAAATTAGATTTTTAAAAAGAAAATTCAATCAACTATTTATCAAGTATTTTTTTTTTTCATTTTTAACTTATTGGCATTATTAAGCCCCAAAAAAATATTATTTAACAGACATTTACTTTTTTTTTTGTTTGTTTATTGATCAAACAACTACAGTTGGTCAAATAAGTCAAAAATTGAGTGATAAGTTTATCAAATATCCTCAATAACTTTTAAATGATATTCTTTATTTACGGTTATTACACATTAGTGAGGTTACTCAATGCACACTCTCTGATAATATCTTCAGGTTTTCTTCATCACCATAACAAAAAATAAAAATATAAAATATAAAAAATCCTTATAAATTTTGTGATAAAAATATTTAAATATAATAAATATATCATGCATAACATAACTTATATATTCAACCCAATTAAATCACATTGATGAAATAAATACAATTTTTGCGCCATGTAATAAATTAAGTCAAACAGTTTAAAACTTATAATTTAATGCCAAAAAATTAAACATAAATACATATGAAAGTAGATAGTAAATTAAAAAGGGAGAAAATGAACTTATATAAGCATGACCCGTAATTAAAATGGTAACTTGTCCGAACAGTGCGGAGGAGTTATCGTGACATGTGCACAGCTACATTCTCTCTGTCCAACTAACGAACAGAGTTAACGGCTTCTCCTCTCTCATCTCTCCATTTGAATTCAACTCCATAGCTTCACTTCATACTTTCTTCCTCAAACCAAACTAACAAACTTCATCTGCTAAACTGCAATGAAGCGGAAGCAATCTCGAGGAGCGGTGGCTGAGATTGATCCTCCGCCGCCGCCGCCGCCGCAGCTGCAGCAGCAGCTTAACTTTGCCGTGAAGAAGCATCTGCGATCGAAGCTTCCTCGCAGAATTCGGACTCACTTCTCGCCTATTCTGCGTTCGTTGTTCATCGCGCCGTCTGCTCTGGTTACGAGCGAGGCGTCGAGTGTGATTGAGAAGAAGGACGTTCAAATGGAGTTGTCTGAGTGCTCGTGTGTGGAGTCGAATTCTGGAGCTTTCGGAGGGGACAGCGAGCTGAAGTTGAAGTTCAAACTGAAGAAGAGTGGAAATGCGAATGTAATTGAGGATCCCGATGCGGTTGTGCAGTCGGAGATTTCCAGCGTTGAGAGGTTTTCATTGTCCGGCAAAGCTAGGAAGCCGAACAGTGAAATCGTGAGCGTAACCGAAAAGGCAAAGGAAATTGACGAGAGCGAAATTTCGAGTCAGAGAAAATTTTCCGGCAAGGTTTCGGAGTTCAGCGAATGGAAAGTGAAACGAAGCAAGGATGCATCTGAGATGAATGACAACGATGTTGTTTCAATTAACTCTGCTTTAGAATCCGCCGCTGAATCGAAGTTAGCTGAAAACAGAGCATTTGGTGAGGAGGTGTCTAAGCCAGAATCTGCTGCACATAAAGTCCTTACAACCGACTTTGATCTGGAATGTTCAGAGAACTTGTCTATAAACGATGAGGTTTTCGATGACTACTCGTCGGCTTACTCTGAGCTTCAGTCGGATATTCTCCAGGAGAGTTCCGATTTGGATTTCTCCGATTATAGTCCGTCGATGTGGTACGATTCTGGCAGCCAATTCTCTGAGAAATCCATCGGTGACGATTGTCCTTCACATAGCTTCCACTTGTCACGTCAGTTCAGTGAAGAGTTCTGCAGGTCAACCTATGCTCCGGATGACTCATCATACCCTGAAGAACACAACATTTCTGATGAAATTTCAGTAAGACTAAAATTCAAAGCATTTTAATATTTTCCATCTTATAATTATGAACGATTATTGTTAATGTTTGAAATTTCTGGAGTAACTGTATGAATTTTGATTACTTATTGTACTATAATGTTGTGTGTTGTTCTTGTTGTCTGATTAAATATAACCGCCTCTTTTTTAGAATATTGTCTTTTCTTATGTGATTTTGCCGAATTTTGTTGTGCGCGTGAAGTTGGAGTTGGAAGAAGAGGATGGAGAGCGCTACCGGATGCTAAGAAGCAGAGAGAGAAGGCAAGTGTATCTACGCGACTATGCGGAGGAGTACTGCCTGGACACAGGCTACGGCGATCTCGTCGTTCAACAACGCCTGCAGATGGTCCATTGGATCGTCCAAGTAAGTTAATAATTAGCCTCTTCGACTCTTCCGATCATCCATGTTCCTTCTAAACTTATCGTTCTGATCATCTGATGTCGTATTTAAATATTCATATGGTTTTTAAAGCTTTGGTAATTTATGTCCGTTTCCATGACTGGTTACATCGAATTGTAAGCTTTTCTAAAGGGGAAGGACGGAGGGGTTTGTGGTTGAAACTGAAAGTTAGTTTTGATCCCAGCATTGCGTTTGATAAATCTGATTGTGTCACGTTGTCTGTATGCGGAAACTTGACGCTGATAGCGTGTGCTTAAGCTTCCTGCCTTCCCGTTCATACTTCATTTTTCTGTTTGCACGTGAGACTACACGTGAATACGTGATGCAGTTCATTTAGCTTTGCACGCACAGTATGAACTTCAATTCGTTGGCAATTTCTCATGAAACATCTTTAAAAAGCGGGGAATCACAATTTAAAAGAATATGTTCTCATCTATATCTTTCTACGTTTCTATTATTTGCCCTTTGTGAATTCTATTTGTAATTTGGTTAAACCAACTAAAAACGGCAATGTTTCGTGTTCTATTTGGTTTCTGGGATCTTCTTCATTGGGTATTTAATCAGTACTTTAATTGCAGCAATCCTCAAAGAATGAGCTTCAAAAGGAGACAATGTTCTTAGGAGTTAACCTCTTTGATCGATTTCTAACGAAAGGGTACTTCAGAAACAAGAAGAATCTTCAGATTGCTGGCATTGCTTGCCTCACTCTTGCCACCAGAATAGAAGAAAACCAGCCTTTAAACAGGTTAGGGTCACCCCTCTGACCTGTCCTCTTTTGAGTCTAAATTGTGTTTCGAAAACAATCAACCATTGTGTACAAGACTTGATTAAGGATTTCATTTGGGTTAAATAACCTATGTTTTGCATACTTGCAATCAATACAATGGAACAATCACTGCAGAGCTATTTCCTTAGCTAAATTTTACAAATATAATGTTCCTAATGCCCTGTCTTCCTATTCATTTGATACAAAGCCTAGGTCAGCATATTAATGACAAAGTAGATGAGCTCCTATTATGTCTCCAGTTGTGTCTCATTAACTTGTCTGGATCTACTTGCCTACACAACCTGTTTGCTTCAATGGAACCAAAGTACCATTTCATCTATTCTTATTTATTAACATGTGGTCATTAGACAGAAAGAAATTGGCTGTGAATATCACTAACCACACCTCTGATGAGTATTAAGTTTGATTTTATAGTTTTACTTATCACTATCATAGCCAAGTCGCCAAGCCCCTGAAAAAAAATTCTAAAAAGTATATTTTGTGCATTTTTTTCTTTCTCCATGCCTAAGTATGGGTTACTTGTGAATTCCCCTCTCTGTTGTATATAGCATATTAGCAAGGCAGTTCACTATTTATACTGGTAAAGTGCATTTCTGACTCATTAAATTTGGTCATATTCTATCAGTATTCAGGATGATACATTCAACATAGGAGGCAATGTGTACAGCAGATGTGAAGTGGTGGCTATGGAGTGGGTGGTGCTGGAAGTTCTTAACTTCCAATGCTTCCTTCCCACCATTTACAACTTCTTATGGTAAGAAGTATATGATGCTTGTGGAATGTAAGCCTTTTGCCTAGTAAAGAACCCGTTTCTTCCCAGCGCTACTTAATTATGGACTTCGTTTAAATGAGTCAGGTTCTACCTCAAAGCTGCCAGAGCTAGTGATATGATGGAAAAGAGAACTAAATATCTGGCAGTACTAGCACTTCTAGGCCATGAGCAGTTGAGTTACTGGCCATCAACAGTAGCTGCCGGATTGGTTATCCTCGCTTCTTCGTTCATAGATCAGCATGCCTCCTGTGACCTTTTTACAGAGGTATCTTCTGAATTGAGGGTTCCAAATGGTACATTAATTTGTATCTGCAACTTCCTTACACAAGGGCTCTCATTACTAAGTTTTACAAACAATTATTCCTAGGTCTAAATATCTGTCCTGATGAAAATCACATCTAGGTTCTCATTTTTACAATTTCTATGGCTTGAATTTTCAGTGTCATTCCAGAACCAAGGATGACGATCTACCCAAATGCATAAAGGTAATAAACAGAAACACTGGCATTTCTCTTTTATTGTAGTAAACAAGTGTTCCGTTGACAATATTGAGCATTTCCTAGTAATAGTTGAATAAAATTTGTGACTGTTATTTAAATAAGGTCCTAATGAGGTGCATTCATACATGACAGAGCTTGGAATGGTTGGTGAAGTACATATAACTCCAACATCGCTAAGCATTCGAGTCCTCTGCACAAATGCATCACCTCTCTCATTCTTTCGTTTACCAATTTCTCCTCCACATATTTCAGAAGGTCTCAATAACAGGTTAATTTTAGTATTCTTTTGCAAGTGTAACTATGTATGACAACATAGAAAGAAAAATAATATAGTCTATGGAAGAAAATGTGTACATTGTTTCAGTCATTAGCCTGACTGTCTGATTTTTGGGAAAGGTGACAACCTTATGTAGCTGTGAAGATATATAAAAGGTGGAGAGTTCATAAGAGAAAGCTATTAGTATGTTGGCTATGATTACACAAAGTAAATACAAATTTCGAACTGTTAATCTAATCCTGTTAGCTAAGCGGCTTTTAATATTCGAACTCCAATGTGCCAAACACATGCAGCTTTAGTTCATACTCAGTCCAACTGCAGTAGTGCATATGCTTGTACAGTGTCATGAAATATATAGTGGCAGAGAGACTGTAATACAAGAGTTGAAGAAGCAATCCCCGGCATAAATTATACGAGTTTTCTGCTATCAGCAGAGTAATTAGGGGCAGGATCTCCAGCCAAAGACTGATCAAGAAGGGCAGCATCGGAATCATTACCAATTGCAGTCCGTCTCTCCTCCTCGGTTTTTTCAACCTTTTCCTTTGTCATTGTGCTCACGTCCTCTGCTGCTTTCGCTACAGCATTATATGCGGTTGAAACCCAGGATGCTCCGGTTGAGACATAAGGATTGCTCATGAGTGCAGACCCCGTCTGCTCAGCTGCCGCAAGTGCAGATTTTGCCTTTTCTGTAACTTGGAACTTCTCGTCCATCTCCTTAACCCTTTCGTTAACTACTGCTGTCCCTATGCTTAGCTTCTCACTTATTCCCATTTTAAGGTCAACAGAGGCAACCGTAGCTGAGGCATTTGATGTCACATGGTAACTTTCATCCAAAGATTTTGCCTTGTTTACGGCATCCTTTCCCAGGATGAAGCCTTTGGCAAGCATGGAGCTTACAACGTCCTCCGCCTTCTCGACAGCATCAGAACCGGATGCTGGCTCCGTTCCCTTAATAACGAAATATGTGAAAGATAAATAATGCCATTAACAAAAAACAATATTAGTAACAGAAAGAAACTATCTTTCTCTTAAATAGGGTGTGAGGTGATGGGTTCTATGGAGATATAGAAACGGTTTTAGTTTTCAAGAACTTATTTATGGTGTTTGGAATTGGATTGCTAATAATATCCAAATTCCATTTGTCATTGTTTTGTGAATAGGATTAGGTGAGATGTATGACTATGGTCGTGTAGGGGACAATAGACTATGGTTGCAGCTACTGTCTTGAACTCATTGATTAGTTAGTACTTGTGTTAGGTTGGAGATGCATGACTAAAGTTGTATGCTGGTACTATTATTAGTTGCTGCATTTTTCTTACTGTAGCTGAAGGTTAATGCACAGCAAATGTCAGGCTGGAAGAGACTGTTACTTTGCAAGTGAATTCATTGTGGAGTTTTGATTTGCTCTTTTGGTGACTTAAGTTGTGGCATAAAGTCATAAACAGGTACACATTGGTTCTTGACTGGCAATAACTGTTTTCTAAGACACCTGAACTTATTGAGATATATGACAGCTGTAGATTTATTCCTCTGCTGCATAAGATTGGCTGTTGTGTACCAGATGTATATATGGAGGAATGGTGCATAGGTGGTTTGGCAGCTTTTCAGGTTAGTTGTTTTCTGCTGTTATAATCATTTTTTTGGTCAAAGTGATGAGGTGTCCTGAGCATACCCTAACTGTGGAAGACACCTTTAAGCCCGTAGTCCCGTACCATACTCAGACTAATCCCCATTCGTACCGGGCCGGCCCAATTAAAGGACAAAGTGCTGGCCAGATTGGTTTTTCCATACGAGAGGGGGTTCAAACTCTCGACCTCTCTTTTAAGGGATGAGAGTGCACGGCCACTCACGCCAACGAAGCTAGATTTCTGCAGTTATAATCATGCATTCTAGCTATTGCAGCTTTTGCTTTCATGAATTTATTGAGAAAATTCAAAATAATAGAAAGAAAAACTTACTAGGGTTAGAGGAGGAGCATTAGGAGGCAGATCATAGTTCTCAGCTGGTGCTATAGAAATGGAAAGATTAGATATGACAGCTCCCTGAAGAATCATATATAAAGTGATAAAACAGATAAATTCTAATGAGAATGTCAGTCCACTAAACAACTATGTTAGAGATAATTTTTTAAAAAAATTTAAACTAAGCAATGCCCTTTGCAGAGTTGCCTCAAATGAGCTGATTAAGGTTCGGCTCGACTAGATTAGTCTCATTCCACAGATGCAGATACCAGTACAGTATAGTGCGTAGAAACTAAGCAGCAAAATGTGAATAAATTTATGTGGGTGAAGCAACTGAACTACATTTGATAATCAAGAAATTCTAGGACAGCTGACATACCGAAAGAAGCATTGCGGTTTCTGCTCCCTTTGGATCCTTGTATGTGACATATGCAAGTTGAGTGGTGTCACTTTCCCTGCAACACATATAGGGGTGTCCGGTAAATAGCTGTTAGCTGATTGCGTTAATGACTTTAATTAGTTGATAACATTAGTTGATTACAGAAAAGTGTTTGGTAAATTAACTGTTAGCTGATATCTGATTTCATGGGTGGACTGATATTCTGTGAACTTACTCACCTCTGCATTTCAATGAAATGCATATCCGCAGGATAAGAGAAGAATTCCTTGATATCATCCTCAGTAGCAGACACTGAGATATTGCTAACTTTCAGCGTTCTTACCTGTGACACAAAAACAAGAATTGAATGCTTTTCTAAGCTATCAGAGAACCCCAAAAAAAAAAAAAAAAAAAAAAAAAAAAAAAAAAAAAAAACATTCTAAAAAGAAAAAGAATGTTGGTTTAAGAATCTGACTCACTTCATTGACATTGATTGTCCAAATTGGGGGACAATCATCTCCAGACTTGTTATCAACCGCAGCAGAAGCAGAAACCTACACTACACTTCACTTTCTCAATCACAACACACAAAACAACAAACCAATGAAAAATTGTAAAACAATCAAACAACTTATATTACTTATAACAACATTATAATAATGCTTCACAATCAAATTAACCAGGCGCATCCATCTTTCATTCCAGGGTATTTTCTCAATTCTGATGAAATTGATAATAACAATAATAATAATAATTCATCCAACAAATGCACAGAAAATCATTGAAGAATTGGCATCATAATCCCAACTAAAATTCCAAGATTTTTCACTGACCGACATTTTGAATTTGTCAAGAATGAAATGTCAGGTGCTACAATCCTTGAATCTCGAATCCAATCGAAAATGTTTTTTTTTTTTTTTTAATGTTTTTAGAAAAATTAAAATAAAGGCTAGAGGGGAGAGGAGTGAGTTTATTGGGTGCATTTGCGGATGAGGAGAATTTGACGGCGTGGGATGAATCGATCGGATCAGGGTTCAATCTTGGATGATCATAAGCTATAACTGTTATGAAAAATATACATTTACTGAAGAGATTTAAATACATGTTATGAATAAATTAAAATTAATTTATTTTAATAATAAATACATAATATTATTCTACAATTAAATTACTAATTATTATTCTTTTTAAATTAAATAATTATTAGAGGATTGAAGTAGAATTATTCATTTTTATTGTTTTTACCAAAATAATTAAATAATTATTAGAGGATAAAAGTTCTGTAGAATATTCCAGTAAAAAAATATATGCATATATACTCCAATTTAAAGAACAATTCTAACAAACATCCATCTCATGTTATGTGGAAAAATCAAACTACAAACATAGTACATGGCTTGCAATATAAAACAAAAACCATAAACAATACATGTTCATGAATTATTACCCAAAAAAATCATGAATAAAAATCATGGATAATTACCATAAATAATACGTATTTATGAATTATTACCAAAAAGATCATGAATAAAAATCATGAATTATTATTATAAGTGTAAAAATGATGGGATCGAAATACAATAAGAAAATAAACAGGAAAAAGACCGTAAATACAGTAAGTGGATATGTCCAAGACGACATTCTTAGTTTCTGGACGGTCTACCTACCGTATTCACTATGCCCAAGACGACCTACCGTATGCCCAAGACGACCTACCGTATTCAAGACGACCTACGACCTACCGTATTCCGTATACGACCTACCGTATGCCCAAGACGACCTACCGTATTCCCCAAGACGACCTACCGTATTCAAGACGACCTACCACCTACCGTATTCCGTATTCAAGACGACCTACCGTATTCACTATGCCCAAGACAACCTACCGTATTCACTATGACTAAGCGGGAACTTCACACGTTCTATGAAATTTTATTTTTCTGATTATTTTAACAATGTTACATAGACCAACTCAAGCCACCAATAAAACAATCAAAGATAAGTAAATAACCAACACTCTTTTAGTTGAACTCGTTACACAGATTTTTCCATTGCAATTTACGTTAAAACATCTCTCATTAAAAAAATAATAAGAGAGAATATATAGGTTTAAGTTAAACTAACTAATTGGTTGGATGTGACCCTAACCCAATCTTAAACTATAGCACAATTTATTATCTCTCTCTCCTTGTAGTCAAACTCTGTTTACCCAAACTTTAATCCACATCCGTATTGCAACCCTATAAAAAATAAAAAATGGAGTAAATAAGCCAAACGACTACCATAACCTGAAGTCTTCATTTCTCTAAGATGTACTACCAAAACAAAAATGAAATTTTGCAAATTAAATAATACACACAAAAATGAAATTTTGCAAATGAAATAATACACTTTTTTTTAGAAAAAACATTACCTAGACCGAAAATAGGACAGGACTGATGCACAAATCAAAGGAATGGATAACCTCAATAGAAACCTCTGAAGACCAGACCATACAAGAATGTCAATATTGTACATCTTTGGCTACCATTGTCAGATTGATTGTACTCTCTTTAGCTTCCTCTTCTAAAATCTACATACACCTTGGAGGGAGAATGAACATAATAATATTCCTGGGGCAACTATAGGTACACGCCTTTTATAGCTAATTAGTTAAAACTGAAACCGGTTAGATACAATAACCGACAACGTTATCATCCCCAGGAACACATCTCAACAACAACGATGCTTCATCAGGATATCCATGGCTTCCAACCAGTAGAACGTGGAAAACTTTGCTGCTCAGATGCACTTTTCAGGAGACCCGTGCTGCACGGATTGCTTAGCTGGGGGACTTTAGACATCGGGCATGGGCTTCGATTCAAAGAACTTGGCCACGGCCTTGTAGAGATTCTCTTCCTCGAATGGCTTTGAGACGTATCCATCCATCCCGAATTCGAGGCATTTGTCTAGTGTGGCATGAATGACGTCGGCCGTCATGGCCAATATCGGGACGTGCCACATGCGCCTTCCTTCTCCCTCTAGTCCTCCGCCGTTCACCCGATCATTAGCTTCTTTTTCCATTTTACGAATACGACGAGTGGCTTCAAATCTGTAACAAACAAAATCCGCAGTTCTCATAAGTCTTGTGTGAGACCGTCTCACCAGGAAACGTATAACACTTTTTTTTATAAATGCATAGAAAAGTATTACATTTTAACTAAACAAAACTTACTCTTACCCTAAAGATCAAAAGAGTTCTCGCCTATACGACGTGAAAATCGAGCAAGTTGAACATACATCAAGAGTAAAGAATCAAGAGATTTTACACATACCCGTCCATTTCGGGCATCTGAATGTCCATGAAGCAAGCATCAAAATTGTGCGGTATCTGAAGCAATGCAAGAGCGGCTGCCCCGCTCTCCGCACACTCCACGTCAGCACCAAACTTCTTGAGTGCGCCAGCCGCAACTCTCCGGTTCACCCGGTTATCATCGACCACCAAGATTCTTTTGCCGCAAAGTAGGCCACGAAGAGTCGATTTGTTGCACGCGTCTTTTCCTTGGGTCTTCTTTCCCATTCCCAACACCTGATGAAGGCACGCCCCCACCATGCTCGCCCTCAAAGGCTTCATTATGATCGTATCCGCAAATCCCGCAGCTTTAGCCTTCTCAAACTCCGCACTCGAAATATCCACCGCAAGGAGAATCATCTTCGGCACCTTGTACGTGTGTCCATTCGGCTTCAAGTTCGGTATCTGTAAGTTCATCCCCCCGCCATCTTCAGACATCCACACATCTTTCTCAACAAGAATCATATCCGGCTGAAGTTGACTTCTGCAAAAACAAACACAAAGTTACACCTACTACTATGTGTTCTTCACGAAACAAATTTTACCGATTTCATCGATAAAAATAAAACATACTTGGAAATCAAGGAACCATTTTTCCCGAACACCGCTACAGCTTTCTTAATGCTATTCACCACCTCGACCAGGATCCCGAGTCTCTTCAAATGATACTTTGTTACAGAAGCTCGAACGGGCTTCCCATCAACGACAATAGCTCTTAGTCCTTTAAACGACATAGGCAAATCATCGGAAAGACCCTTTTTCAAATCAACGCTGCCATTCGTCTCGTACCTTTGGAAGTTAACGGTGAAAGAAAACGTGCTCCCTACATCGGGACGACTGATAAAGTTTATCTGACCGCCCATCAGCTCAACTAGACACTTGCTAATGCTTAATCCAATCCCGGTTCCTCCATAGTGTCTCGAAGTGGAACTGTCGGCTTGCATAAAGGGCGTGAAAACTCGGTCTTGTGCATGTAACGGGATCCCGATCCCGGTATCTTCAACAGATACCATCAGAGTAACATTCTGAGACGCATCATCGGTCATCAGTTTGTTCGCAGCTCTATAGTACAACGGTTCATCGGGAATTACGTGCTTAAAACTGTCCCAAGTATTCCGGTTATCGGCAACTTCGTAACCACTTAGGGTTTCGCAATGATACCCACTCGACGGTATAAATCTTTCCGATCCGCCGTTCAAGCATGCTTCAGATTTTGCCTTTGCTTCTTCGGCTAGACTAACTTGAACAAATACATGCCCTCGTTCAGTGAACTGTTAAGAAAAAAAAAAAAAAAAAAACGATATATCCATGTTAATAATGCAAATCTCGTAAAAGGCTATTCATACTTAACAACATTTCTATTAAAAGTCTAATGTGATCGTAGAGTCTTTAAATGTTCATATTGTCTCCAAGAACGAGAAGATTACAATGATAGAATAGAATGTTTAAGGTTTTCAGACATCACTTACTTTGACAGAGTTGCCAACCAGATTTGTTATCACCTGTCTGAATCTTCCGGGATCCCCAAAAACAATTTCGGGAACCTTATCAGAAACAAAGACGGCCAACTTCACTTCCATAAATTAGTGTAGTGTCGGGAAGGAGCGAACACCACCCACCGCAATTCAGGCGAAAAACACAAGTAAGTACACAAGAAATGCTATGACTCGGAGAAACCAAGAAAAATTAATACAAACTATGAATTTGTACGGAAAGCTTCGTGGGCCCTACCTCGACGCCTTTCTTCCTAGACTTCTCGGAGAATAAAGAGAGAACATCGTCAAGTATTGAGCGAATATCGAACAGGACGGTCTCGAGTTCTAATTTCCCCGCTTCAATTTTTGCTCGATCCAGCACTTCGTTTATCAATGTTATCAGCGCTTTTCCACAGGCTTGTGCTGTTTGAGCATAATCCCTTTGGGTCGAACTCAAATCCGTATCAAGAAGCAGAGCAAGCATTCCTGCAATAACAAAGCGACATTAAAGAGAATTAAGATACCGAAATTGATTCTTTTAACCGAAACCCTAAAAACCGAACAAGGAAAAGGTTCACCTTACCTAAGATTCCATTCATGGGAGTTCTTATTTCGTGCGAAACGGTAGCTAAAAACTGTTGTTATTAGCAAAAACGAGATTCAGTAGTTTGGACAAAGGGCAACGGATTAATGAATAGGAATCGCATATCACATCCCGAAAAGGATTGTTCGAATACCTGAGATTTTGCAATGTCAGCAGCTTCGGCTTCAACCTTCAATTCCTGCATTTTGTGGAAATCGTCCTCGACTTTAATAATGTGAATTCCAGCACCGTATATCATATACCCAACCAAAAACCCGATCACGAAGATAAAGAACGCAAAGGTTACTGCAGCCCACGCGGTAGGAGCCTTCTGAAGATACCTGCGTAGATATATTCACAACGTACATCTTTAAGAAACCTCGTGATGTTCCGGCTTTTCGTTTTTTAAGGTAAAACGGCTCCTAAAAATGAAGACAGCAACCAAGGAAACAGACCTGCATATCATCTCGTGCTTACGAAATGGATCGCCAAAATCAAGCTTGCTCACGTGTGTCAGGGACAGGTCGCCCTCTTGGCCCGGTTGTCCATACATGACTAAAGGATCAGAAGCATTGGTAATGTCGTAAACATTCACGACGATCGCTTGGTTTCCGGCAAGTTGCCCGAGCAGGTTTTCAACTAGAGACTCGACATCAAAGGCCCCGCCAAGGTATCTGCTTACATCAATACATTAAACAAAAAAATTAACCTCCTTTAGAGATTGTTAATAAAAAAATAAAACCTCTCAGGAGACTATGTTAGCTGATTGAGCTAGTGAGTTTAACGTTGATAGCATTAGTTGATTGTAGAAAAACGTTTGGTAAATTAGCTGTTAGCCGTTAGTTGATTACATATAAAATGACTTTCTCAAAAATATGATTGAAAAAGCTACTTTGAGTAGCTTTTTGAATTTTAGCATTTTGGAGAAATAAGTTGTTACAAAAAGCTAATTAATCAAACACTCGTATTGATTGTTTAACCAAGTCAAACAACTAATAGTGGTCAAATAAGTCAAAATTGACTGATAGACTAACTATTTTACCAAACAGGGCCAGTTATCTTAAAAATAAGTTTTGCACAAACCGCAAAGGCTACATAATTTATCGTTTTCTAATAGGTCAATTGCACACGATGTCCTCCGACCTAACCTTAAAAAATTTCATTTCATTTCGGTTGCACATGATGTCCTCCAACCTAACTCTAAAAAATTCGAGTTCATTTAACATGTAAGTATGTCAACGCCTCGCTAACAAGTAACAACACCTTATTTATTGAAGTCACACGTAAATATAGATTTACCCTGCAGTTGCTTCGATCCTATCCTGCTGTGACGGGTTAGCTGGCAGCATGGATTTGTAAACCGGAAATGTCAAAACGACACCAAGGTGATTAGAGTCTAGAAGCCTGAAGGGACTTGTAAGAACAGCCTTCCCAGTAGCCCTAGCCCTCAAGATGTTTTCCCGGTCCTCCTGCATCAATAAGCTACCGTATAATCAGATAAAAGCTCGGAGAACAATGACAAAACCAAATCCATATAACCCGACACTAATCCATTACCTCCCCTGACATCATGTCGATCGACTTGAGGTAAGAAACGGTTTCTTGTGCGAGTATGACCGGGGCATACTCGTCCCTGATCGGTGAAGGCTCTTTATCCATCGTTCGAATAGTCCACCCGTGCTGATCCTCGAAGCTCCCCCGCTGCGAATTAAGAACTCTCTCCGCATAGGCTACCCCGCTCAATAAAGGCCTCTCGAACGCTGTTCTAGCAGTGTATTCAGCGAATGTTTCCTGCATTATAAAACCGCAAAATCAGCCAAACCCACAACACAATACAATACAAAATCAAGATTCAGAAACCACACCCTTCAGCTAAACACATTAACATCAAGTCATCAACAAGAACAAAATCAAGATTCAGAAACCACACCCTTCAGCTAAACACATTAACAACAAGTCATCAACAAGAACAAGAACAAAATCTGGGAATATTACTACTCGATATTATTACGAAACGAGAAGTCGAAAACCTAACCTTATCAATGGCAGAAGGGGTCTTGTAGTAATGGAAAGTGGAGACAAGGATGGCAAGGGCATGAACATGGTTAACACTGACACTGAATTGATCTTGCAACATCCTAGCCCTCTGATCACACATGCTCACCAAAGCCTCTTTCCTCTTCTCCTTGTTCATAGCATCCAGAGAATTGAATATCACACTACTGATAAAGAACATGAGAAGAATCCAAAAAGCCAACAACTGTGGGAGCCTATTCCTGTGGATCAATGTGTACTTCCTCTTACTGCTCAATTGCTCCCCCAACCTCATAGCCACCGTGTGGTGGTGCATCTTCTGACCCATCAACACTAATCTCTCCTACACCTCCAATTCCTCTCCTCACCTAAAACATGGCACCCAACAATAAGACAACAACATAGTACACAAGCATGAGTTTCTTGAAAAGAGTGACAAGAAAACACCTTTTTTGTGCAAAACAAAGAAAAGGGTCTGCTCTACTACCCAAAGCATATAAAATAAGAAAAAATGATTACAAGGGCAAGCAAGATAGATAAATTGATAATATCCCATACCTCATGGGGTTGAAGGCATGCCTGCAGGTCCCTCAAAAGCAGCAAAAAACCCAGACTCCAAAGAAGAGGAAAATGTAATTTAAAGAAGAAAGCTCCCCTTTTTAGCCTTCACTTTGCCTGGGTGTGGAAGGATGTAAGAGTGCAGACAAAGAACAGCACGTTTGCTGCCCAACACAACATAAAATATTACATTTGACCAGCGAAGCAGAGAAAGAACAATGAGGGAAGGAAGGGAGGGAGAAAAGCAAAGATTAAACCTGTTTTTTAAGTTCTTTGTGGGAACAAATACAATGAACTGTGGGTTGGGTGTTTGTTGAGGCTGTGCTCTCTTGGGTTCTGATTTCCCAGCTCCAAATCTTGTGAACACAATAGAATATAGAATAGAATAGGTTTCTTTGTTTTTGTTTTTATCTTTAATCTTTAATTATTTTTTTTTTTTATTTTTGTTGGATGGTGATATAATAAAATAATATGAAGTATCTTCTTTTCCTTACTTTTCAAAGCGACTGAATCGAATTTGAGGATTTTTGCAGATACGCTCTTGTCCCCCCATACCCTCTCTGCTCCATAAAACTATTCCTCTCTCTCTCTAGAAAAAAAAAATAATAAAACTATTTTTTTTTTACACAACCAACCAGTTGTACATTTTTCTCCATTTTCTTCATCGCCAGAATTGCCATTTTTCTTTACTCTCTCTTTGACTTTCAAAAGATGTTTGGACAATTGGACTGGAAATATTTTATATTTGTCCTCTGGAATTAATTACTGAGAAGTTGAAAATATATCTTTTGGGCAGAAGTGTACAGAAGGTAAGGAACTTAAAATTATTTGTACAATTGAGAATTTATTTCTTTTGGTACGAGTTCATAAATTTCATGATATAATCTAACAAATCAAAGAAATTTGAGATATCAATAAATAAATAAATAAATCTTTGCATACAGTAATAAACTATTCACACAATTGACCAGTTGATAATATTAGTTGAATGTAGAAAAATGCTTGGTAAATTAGTTATTAAATGATTGCCGATTACACGTAAAATGATTTTATCAAAAAATTGATCGGAAAAAAAAAAGTTACTTTTAATAGTTTTTTGAATTTTAGTATTTTGAAACAATAAATTGTTGCAAAAAATTAATTGACCAAACACCCATATTGATTGTTTAATTAAGTCAAGCAATTAATAATGATCAAATAAATTAAAATTGACTGATAAGTTAACTATGTTATCAATATTATTATTCTCTTTTTAATATTGTGTATTGCAAATCTAACTCGTCCGCCATGTAACGTCATTTGTTGTTTATAATAAAGGTATATGTTATTTGTTATATTATATTATTATTATTATTATATTTTAAGAGTGAATTAAAAATGAGCATAAATAAAATAGTGATGAATTGTATGTAAATATAATGATATATTATTAGAACTCCCGGTTTAAAAAGTGAAAGGGTATCCTAAGAATGCATGGACTATAAATCATTCGTGTTAAGGTGACACTAAATAACTATATAATAACAAAGAGTTTATTCGATAATGACAATATGATACACCACCCACATTTATGCAATATATGTGTTATTTGTACGTTCTAATAAAAACAATGGTGCGTAAAATCAAAATTCTAATTTATTAATAAATAAATATTAAGGACAATGGCAGACCGTAGATGTATTTTATGGAGTATAATTTCCATCAAGTGTTCAAATTTTATTGGATGAAGAAAAGATGTAAAAAAAATAATAATTAAAATCATGGTCCACAATTCTGCTGGTGAGACTCAATCCAGAGTCATTGTTCTAAAATTTCACTCTTGTGACCAACTAAGTTGTCCATACGGGCATTAAACAATCAAATAATGATACATCATATGAAGTAAAAAACTAGAGTATGAATATAATTACTCAAATAGCAATACAATTATAAGGTCGGAGGATCGTTATAAATCATGTTAAAAGATTTTATCAAACATTTAAAAAAAATCTAAATTATTTTTACAATGATAACATATGTTATACATAAATAAATAAATTTACGCATAGCGAGATAATTATGATTTGATTATTTTTTTTTCATAAAAATATGAGATTTCAATAGCTTACAACATAATATTGTAAGATATGATCGGACCATAATGTGTGGTTTACACCTACAATATTGTAAGACATTAAAAAATGGTTGAATTTTAACTAACGGTTTAAATAACATTTTCCACTTCTTATTAAAAAATAATAATAAACATCATAGTAAAATGTATTTAATAAGTTGAGACATCGATAACATGGACAATAAAATGTCATTTGCTTTGTTTGTTTGCTTCACCATATAGTACTTAAACTAGTAATTCACCCGTGCAATGCACGGGAAAAAATTATGTTATTATAAATATAAATAAAAAATAGAAAAATTAAAATATTTTAAATTATTTAATATAATAATATTTTTGAGCTTCCATTGGTCAAGTATTTACGGAGTATTATTTTTATAGAATACAAAATTACAATTAAAATTAAAATTAAAATTTTGTATGGTTAATATAATCTCTAATTATGTGCATATTCAAATAAACTTATAGAGAGAATTTACATAATTACATTGATTTATTCTTAATTGTATTTCATCTATATTATAATTTTCACAATTTGAATAATAACTAAGATAATTACATTTGAAAAGTAAATTTCAAATTTTGTATGTGTAAATTTAAACTCTAATTGAACACATTTTTTATATGATTATATAATATATAGCTATTTAATTTTTCAAAAGTATATTTTTTATATGATTATATAATATATAGCTATTTTATTTTTTAAATGTTGTGTTTTTTTTTTTTATAATAAAGGATGTTGTGGCATTAATTGTAACATTAATTATTTTCCAAACCATATAGCTTTATTATATAATGGATAGGAGCTAAGTAAATTGAATTTGGATTATTGTAAATTTAATTGTTGTCAATGTTTTATCTTTTAAAGTACGTTGTATTGTGTTCGTTAGTATGATTTACATATCATGTGTAGTTTATGAGATGTACTCAGTGCACATCCTTCGACAATTATTGTGAGTCTTTCTTATCACCAATAAAAAAAAAAAGAGCTAAAGCATAATTTTTTTCTTGTACATAAATATAGAAATTAATAATCATTTTTTATTTAAAATAATAAATTTATATTGTTGGATATATTATTTAAAAAGTATATATATAGTTATATACGGCCAAGTCATAGAGGTTGGTCAAATAAAAGCAATCACCTATTGTAAAAAGTGAAAACTAATCTCAAGTATCAACCATTCATAAGAATTCATTCATGGAACCTCAATAAAATGTCCTTTACTTTTTTACTTACAAACATATTCTCACTCGAACCTTTAATAGTTATATATATGATGGATATATTATAAATGGACTCAAAGCAAATTAACCCGGTGGAGTCGACCCGAAAAATACCGGAGCTCCAAGGGTTGAGCCCGTGCTCCGCGCCTTGGGGTCCAAACCTGGGCCTAAGGCCGAGTCATGAGCTTGGCACCTTGGAGGTTCCAGGCCAAGTGCACCCTCGAACGTCCCATGCTAAGTGCACCTCGGAGGACTGTAATGGACGACTGTAACACATGTAGTGGATGCGTTAGACACAGTCAAGAAGGTCCAAACTACCCGCCATTTTCTCATAGGAGCAGTTAGAGCACGACTTAGTATAAAAGCACACATCTTTGTCTCATTAAGACATCATTGTTCACTCAAATCCGTGTAATTAACAATTTTACACGAGTCTTAATACAATCTTGTATCCATAACACCTATTTAGTATCTTTACGTTCATTGCTATTATCTTTTAATTATTGAGTTGTTTGAATCGGACTACTCGAGTAAACATAATCCATCAATATATATCGAGAAAAACTACACCAATTTTAACAGATGCTAGCGCCAAGGTAAAGAAACAAAACAGTACTATGCAATGGCTTTTGTGTAATTTCGAGCATAAAGATGAGGATATTTTCGGGAATTAGATCGAGCATCGGAGCAGAGCAGTAGATGATGAGTTGGACTACTTTAGAGAAAGGGTAAGTTTGATTGAGAAAGAGAGAGAGACAATGTGTATTTTTATTTTTTTATGAAAAATAAAAATATTAATAACATAAAATTAAAATTAACAAAATAAAAAATATACGAAAAATATTATAAATCGCTTTCGCATATCTTGGCGATAATGACATCGCGACAAGGAGCAGATCTCATTCCCAATTAAATTACCTAAAAACCTAGTTCCGTTCACTGAAATTACTATGCTGCCCTTTCCCCACGAAATAGTTCAATAAAATTATGTTTTTTAGTTTTCAATTGTAATATAGATTTAAATATTCAATTATTTATAATAACATTTTGTTAACATTTTTAAAGACCAAATTATATATTTTTCATTTTGATTTAAAAATGAAAAACACACGTTTACGTGATATGTTTCTATACCTATGAGTATTTGTTTGGCCTTGTATAAGCAAGCTTACCAATTGATTATGTTTTTATCATGCTTTAAAGCATTGGTGATGATTAATGGTAATGATAATGTATGAAAATATATTATAACGTATATAAATGTATTATTTTCAAAATTTAATTTAATATTAATATTCAATGTTACATTTTAATTTTATCAAATTATTTTTTTAAATAACGGTATGTAATTTTGTTAATTAATAGTTGTAGAATTCATATTATATTAAAAATATAATTGATAATTTGAGTAATATTTATGATATGATTAATATTATTAGATTGTAAGAATTTTAGATATGATAAATTACTAAATATAGTTATAGTAACATTTTATTAAAATCTAAATGAAATCAATCTTATTTATCATATTTTTTTGGGTGTACCTAGAATTTTCACCGTCGGACACAATGACTAATCTTCTCGCTGAAATTATTTCAATATATAATGTTTATACCTAGATTATTACAATTGAAGAATATAAGAAAAAATATTGTGTTATGCATGTGCATGATGATGATAATAATAATAATAATAATAATAATAATAATAATAATAATAATAATAATAATAATAATAATAATAATAATAATAATTGGTAGGGAATATCCCGACCGACATAGCTTCACCACGACCGAGGAGCCTTTGTCTATTTCTCCTTGTCTTTGCAGGTAACAGGTCGGGCTCCACAAGAAGAACCCGGTCGTAGACCGACCGGAGTTGCCCGAGCGACGTTGTCGACCACCGAGCGGTAGCCCTTCGGCGAAAGAGCTGACGAAGGACACGTGGCGGCTCTTTACATCGACAGGCAGGGCACCCGGGAGGATGACACGTGGTGGCTACGTGGAGGACATGCCGAACGGCTGGAATCCTGTCCCCGGC